GTGAAATGCTGTATCTGAGCTGGGTGAGTAGTGGAGATGTGCAGGAGATGTTTGAGATAACTGGTAGGAAATCTGAAGGGAGGGCTGTACACGACATAAGAGCAGCTCATAGAATCAAAGTCAACCAGCTGAGAATGAAAGTATCGAGGATTAGTCTTTAGATGTGCAGCTTTTCCTCTTTCTCAATGTGCTAAAGCAAAACATATTGCTGTGTTATGTAGCTTCTGCAGATACGCTATAGCAAGGTATAGGTGTTCGGACAAATGAGATGTGAAAGCAGACGTGGTGTGTTCGTCTTATTTTAGCTCTATCTTTGTATTGATCTGAAAGTAAGAGGATGGGATGTACAGCTTCAGGTGTAGAGCAAACCATGTGGCGGTCATGCTCGATGAAACAAATATCTGATTTGTTCTCAGGGGCTCCGGTGTTGTGATAGAGCCATGGTGGGTGTCATGGTGAGGTTAGCAGATCATGTCTATTCTCTGCAGCCAGGCTCTGATCAGCTCAAAGCCAACGTGCTCTGGATGTCTAAGGCCATGCACAACAAGTCTGTGACACCTGAGAGCAAATGAAGTTGTTAGCTGCAAAATTGTTTTGGCCCACATATCGCATGGAATGATGGCACTTGACACTCCTGTTTTCCAGATCTAGGCCACAAGTAAGCCACAGCAGTACCAACCAAAGGTCAATCAAAGGTGGCCCGATTTAGTTTTGTGCTGGGCCATAGTCACCATTTTGCATATAAGATACTTTATGTTCATATGCGGATTACGTCTTGCCTAGAGCACAGAATGTTTGCCAAAAGAAGGATATTGTTTTGGGATATTTAGGCTCACAAATGTGCAGCTTTAGGCTCACGTTCAATTTGTCTGTGCCACAAGTGAAGTGCCAACATCATTGTCTGTATTGGTCCACATGCTTATGCCATCAGGTCTGTAATTGTCTCGGTAATTAATCTAATGGTTCCAATATTTAGTGAAGTGGTAAAGATGATGATGATTGAAAATGAGTTTGAAACCCATCAAGTCCGTGCAGGCTCACTGCAGCTCAATGTGGCGAAACCAGGGAAGAATTTCAAGTGGCTGAGACAACATGAAACAAGGAAGTCACACCACACTTTTGGTTTCCCTTTTTGTAGGTAAACATTTCAGTTGCTGCTCATTTTCCCAGGGAAGAGTCATATTTTGAAGTGGACAACCCAGAAGTTGTGTGTGTGCTGTGGGTCCAGGATCACCATTTTTTCTTTAAATTATTATCAATATAATGGGAAATGCAATACAATGCATAGAGGACACAGACACAGAAACGTGCTGTGTGTCTTCAGCATCAGTTTAAGAGCAGAGCAATTCTAAAAGGAACACACACAACTGAAAGTGAAAAAACAGAGGTTCTGCTAAAATGCTCAGGAGCCATTTGATTGATGAGGACACACAGAGATGCTCTCACCACATGGTGCCATGAAAGAAATGTAATATAGGAATAGTTATGGGCCTCCAGAGCACATGCTGGTCATCAGAGGCAGTTGTACTGTGGTACAAAAATAAAGCATTTATGTTTTCATGAGAATGGATATCCAAGGAAATACATACAACAACAAATCTATTCAGAGTTTCATATCAAGTACTATATTTAGTCTGGGTTAAAGTTGTAATTTGATACCACTGATCAACATTTCCTCTCCACCAGTTGAAACCTAAATAATAATCTTTATCCTGGAGCCCTGTTTACTTGAGGGTCTAATTATCATTATCTCTTAAAATAAGTTTTTTGGAAGAAGCCTCTTGAAACAATGAACAGTGTTTTTGTCATTCCATCCATTTTGCTGTCATCTATATTTTAGGAACTATACCTACATTCATATGATTCTGGCTCCAGACACTGCACATCATTTGACTTTTTAAGATAAAATAAAAAAACGTGTTGCTCTAAAATTACATGAAGAAAGCAGATTTTATCCATTAGCCTATGAAAAGTGTTAGACACTTATGTGATGACTTTTATGTCATTTTGTGCCTTTTAGGCTGGCACCTGCTATACTACGAGTTCAGCATGCCAGCTCTTTTTATTTGAGGAGTCCTTTTATAGCTTGAGCACAAATTCTGCAGACATGACTTTGGCTAATGCCCAAAACCCTGCAGTAGACCTCTTTTACAGTCTTGGCACCTTCTCTTCATTATTTTTAGAGCTGAATGCAAAGGTATTTACTTTTCCAAATATATTTCCTGCAGAAGAATATCTGCCTGTTTGAGGTATATTCTCCAAGGAGTCACTAAAAGACACGAGAAGTCAAATTCGGAATAGATGCTATTGTGAATTCCACCGATTCCACCTGTAGAGCTAAAGTTTTTAAGTATCTGTTTATTTTTCTTTGCAACATATATTCATTGGCATTTGTCTAGGTAATATTTTGCAATCCTATAGTTATTTTTAAGAACGCCACGTCTGTCATATGTACTGATTGAGAGAATGAGCCAAAAACCCAAAGGAAATCATTCCGCAGCTCCATTCCTCAACACCTGCGTAAGGTTTTCCCCCAAACTTCTCCAGCCATCATCATCCAGCTGTTAATGCTCTATAACTGTGGGGGTTGTTGGAGTGGGTTACCTGTTAAAGTTTTATCATCTCAGCCATGAGCCAAACATTAAGATTCACTTTAGTTGTGATGGGGATAGCAGATAACCCCAATCTCATATAGAACTGTGTGGTAATGTCACAGCAAAGTAACTGTATTGCAAAGGATTCTCAAGGATCAACACTGACACCTGACAAACCATAAACAAACAATAATTTCTAGAGCCCAGAAAATGTTGTTCAGAAAGGTGTACTTGCAATTTGCAGTTGACAAACCAACTTCAAGTATCATAGTACACAATATAATGATAGAAAGTCAAGCAACAAACTTTGTTCACAGTGTTATTGTGATTTTAATATAAATTTGCTTCAGCAAAAACAGGCATTTAAAAAAGGTCAGGTTTGTTATGCATGCTCAATTGACAGATAATCTTTTACCAAATCTGTAAAAAATTGTTTTAATTTTGCATAAATAAATTCTCAGTAGGTAATCATTGTGCCTTGTCATATATTTATTGAATCAAATAAATAATATTCTGGAAAACACACATACTCTTCACATATTCTTTTGTTCACGTAGCAGCTGGGTGTGTTTTATAGCCATAAGAAGAGTGACACAGTGTGGTGGGAAGTGGGACCTACCGCTCTACCTCCAGTAAAACAGTCTGCTAGATACTGTAAATACTAAAGTACATATTAAATCAAAGTGCTTATTTAATAAGAGCCTGTATATCAGTGTTGGTTGGATTATAATTTTAAACACATGTGGACTGGCATTTGACAACACATGTGAGATTAGTGACAATAGTCAAAAAATATATTATTACACATGCAGTATCAGTGGCAGATTGCTGCACATTGAGAAGCGGCGTTCAGTTTAAATTGCTCCACATTTGTGGATAAAGTAGCAGTGCAGGGGAAAATATGGTAAGAATAAAAATATTTGATTAATCGAGATTCGAAAAGATATAGGAAATAATCATCTGTTCACTAGATGATAATGGAAGCAATCAGCAGCAGTCTTGACAATTATATCATAGTAATTTAATTACTGACTTATATCTGCACGGCAGCCACTGGTAATATTAGATTTAAAAAGAAAATTTCACTTAAAAAAAATACAAAATAAAACTATTTGTCTTTCTCCTTAAAGTGTGTTAACCGCCTTACATTTGTTTCCAATATCCAATTATTTAAAATATGAAAACAAATAGAAATGCTTTATACAATAAAGTAGAAATAGTACACCAAATACAAGGCGCCCCCCCCCCCCCAAAGAAAGACAATATAAATATATACAAAAATGTACAGTATAAATATACAGTATACAAGTACAATGTGTCCATTATTTGTAAAATACAGTGAAGTAATATGTGTTTAATGAGCACAACAGCTGCAGAGGTTCCATAAACCGAGCGGAGTGATGGTGAACCAGGTCACACGGTGATGATGGTGTCTGATGGTGTTCGATGCTGACCCGCTGCTGCCTCAGTGCCTCCGTCTCTACTGTACAATGCATACAAGGCAAGCCCGTGCGGGACTGTCCAAGAAACCCCATCGACGAGACAAAACTCGAGGCGTGAACGTGGCAGCCATTTTACATCATCAAGAGTGAATGACTGGAGCCGGACCAGTGCCGGGAGTTTTACACTTTTTCTGTCTTTTCAATATCACATTTATCTTCCTAAACAATCAGCACCATACGCGTTGGTGAGCCGGCGGCAGGTAGGGCGAATGCTTCTAACTGGTCACGTCATTGTTGCTGCATTGATTGCTGAAAAGTCCGAAACCGTGCGGTGCTGTTTCAAACAATGTGGAAACTGGTGGTGGTTGGGAACGAGTTCTCCAGACCGGCTTTTTGAAAATGGACTCTTCCTATGTGGCGGCACGTTGACTAACCACGCACCCAGCGGGCTAAAGGCTCCGGCTCTTTAGGCCCCGGTGGCTCTGGTTTAATCTAAAAGCTGCGGTGTGTTAATTAGCTAAGTCTATACCGACAAATGATGGTGTAACAATGGCCTCGCTGAAAATCCGTTCGCATTAGCATGCTAGCTCACGTTAGCCTATTTTGACAGATCGCGGAGTTGACATGCTCATTGTCATTGTATGCTAGCAGGCAGTTAGCTGGCAAAAGCCACTTTTCTTAGCAATCGCGTGTCGCTGCCGTGCTAGCTGTCATTCTTCTCGCAGACTGAAACAACAGGCACAGAAGTATTCGTGTAAAGTGCAAATTAGCGCATCGTGTTATTGTCTCCACGAAGGTCCCCGGTTAGCATGGCTGCTGTAATGTTAGCTGGGCAAACTAGCCCGCTAGCCAGCTAGCTAGCCTCAACGTGTGCGAGTCAGTCCCTCCCCGCTAAATCAAACGTTGTCATATTCGTCACGTAAAATAATTAAATGAAATAAATATGTGGGAGTTACTGATTGAACAATCAAGTTCGATATATCAGATGTTTTAACCTTTACTTTTAACGCTGTAGAAATGTTTTAACCACAGAAAGCACGTGCTTACCGATATAACGTGATCGATTAGCAGGCACTACACGGTATCGGTGGCATGATATCTTTAAGCTAATATTAGCTACAGGTAACGTTAGCTGAGGCAACGTTAGGCCGAAACAGAAGTTTGCCGTCCACGTTTTGCTGAGTCCAGCGTTGCCGGATCCAGTAATGGGAGCAGAGATCAGTGGGATTGCTGCTCTGCACGAGTTCTTGCCTCAGTGTGTATCAGCACAAACAGGATGGAAGTAACGACTGGGTTAGTTCTGTGCGTGATTGTGGTTGGAGTATTAATTTTAATATCACAGTCCGTGCTGTCAAAGTGTCAATAAACAAAATGGGTGCACGATCACTGGTCAGCCACCGGAAACCGGGGCTCACTCTGTGATGGAGCACGTGTATCGGCTATCTAGCCTGTGCTGAAGTCAGCAGCGAGAAGGTAAGCTAACATGTAATTTAGAGGCCAAAGCAAACAAGGCTCCTGCAGCAGCAGCAGCAGCCATCGAGGGCGCAGAGATTCAGGAGTTAGCAAATGAACGTTGCTCAGTTTGCTAATTTCTGAACCCAGAACAAACCGCAAGTAGAAAGCACCGCCACATGGACACAAACTCAGTAGTGAAACTGTTTATGACATGTCATTTATTAGATTTCTGTTGGGGATTTGGTTTGTGCAATGTCTGCTTTTTGTGCAATGTTAAAACATTTGTGTCCACTGCCTATATGAAGGTTTTTGGGTTTCTACCTCATGCAAGCTGAGAGCTGCAAATGTGAGTCAGGACAGTGAAAAGTCTCTAGATGGTATAGGACCAAATGGCCATGTTAACTTGTGCAATCTTCCCATATTTCATAATTTGTGGATAATAATTTGTCAGACACCCTGTTCAAAGATCATAAATGGTCAAGTCTTTATTTGTATACATTTTGAAATTATTCACCTGTCATGTCTGAGACTTCACACTCTCCTGAACACATCCCAAGTCTTGCCCTTGACCCAGGATTAATTTGGCTCATTGCATTCACACAGATTTCTGGAGACATGGCCACAGAACATATTAATGGAAATGGTCCAGAAGAACCAATGGACACCTCTGCTGCAGTTACCCATTCTGAGCACTTCCAGACTTTATTAGAAGCTGGTTTACCACAGAAAGTTGCTGAAAAACTAGATGAAATTTACATAGCAGGTAAGGCACAATGAATATACTTGCATATTGAAATATGCAAATTTTTGTTTATCAATTTCTTGCATGTACTGTCATTTATCACCTTTTTGAATGGGGGAATTGGGATCCTGAAGCAACTTTTTGTGGTTTCCTACCAAAATGGGTACTGCAGTGCTACAAAATATTAAATTACACATTCCTAGTGAAAATGTGTACATGATTGCAGCATTTGCATTCCCAACATGGTTGCATGATCACTGGTGTCAGGGTGAATGAATTGTCATTAAGTTTCTTGGTGAGCCTGTCCAATCTCTGTTAATTTCTATGTAATTTCCTCACATCCCATACAATTACTGCAGACGGATGAATAGATGTAATTATGATCTCAGTGACAGCCTGCTTTTACCAGATCTTAAGAAGTTTGTGTAGAGACGAGCTCCAGGGCCAAACATTCGGGGGGTCATTTTAGGACTTGTTTGGTCGGTCAGATCTAGAAAAGTACTAGTCTGGCCTTTTCAGCCAGATGGGACCGAGGCAGGAACAATGGCAGCAGCTGTCTGGTGTGTGGCTGCCTGGGACAGGTGACGGCCCCTCCACAGAGGAGAATGCAGCCCGGCTCATTAGAAACTCTTAGCCACAGTGTAGAGTGCAGTGGCGTATCAAGTTGCACTGTCACATCTGTTGTGATTAGTTCTGCAAAGACATGCTGTTTGGAGAGTAAAGTGCACCCTGACTACTGAACATAACTTTGATTTGGCTTGTCCCCCTCCTCTCCTCAATGTAGTTTATATGTATCCATTACTTTTTTATTAAATAAGACATAACACTAAGTGGCTCCCTTGTAATTTAAAAAAATCCTTTAGTTGTACTCTATTTTCTGTCTTTGAATGACTCTTACTGTACCTCATCATTTCTCCCTTTGCATTTGTCTCTCTTCCTCCAGGTTTGGTGTCACACAGTGACTTAGATGATCGAGCGATTGAGGCTCTGAAAGAGTTCAACGAGGAAGGTGCTCTGCAAGTCCTTTTGCAATTCAAGGACAGCGACCTCTCACATGTTCAGGTATGCATGTAGAACTGCTGTGTTGTTTGGTTCACTTCTGATGCTGTGATACAAAGTGGTGTAATGACCTACAAGATGGACTTATTCTTTTTGTGTTGAACAGATAATGTGATCGTAATTATGATTATTATTGTTTGATCATACTTTCTTTTCTTTTCAGAACAAAAGTGCCTTTCTTTGTGGCGTGATGAAGACGTACAGACAGAGAGAGAAACAAGGGACCAAAGTCTCAGACACCAATAAAGGACCAGATGAAGCCAAAATCAAAGTGAGAACTGATATAGAATCTTATGTTGTGCTTTACATGTGTGAATGCTGAAGCAGTTTGAATATAGAACACATTTTTAATTAAACATTATCCTTTTAAATTCGCCATGTTTTTTTTACGTCAGGCTTTGCTGGAGAGAACTAGCTACACGCTTGATGTGACAACAGGCCAGAGGAAGTATGGGGGTCCTCCACCAGAGTCCGCCCACTCAGGGGCGCAGCCCACCATTGGTACAGAGGTACAAAATAACCTTACTTAACACTTGTCAATCACTCCACTTCTTTTAACTTTGTTGGTTGTTAATCCTTTTCAAATGATGGTGTCCAAATGATGAAACTTGAATATCTTCTGTAGTGACCATGGTTACACTGATAGTTTACCGCTAAGAGCTGACTGGATACCCTTTACCTAAATGCAGTCCTTCTCTTGTCTTAACATTTCAGATGAAGGAGTTTATTTCATGCACCATTATTTTTGCTCTCAACCTTATAGATATTTGTAGGCAAAATCCCCAGAGACCTTTTTGAGGATGAGCTGGTTCCACTGTTTGAGAAAGCTGGCCCCATCTGGGACCTGCGCCTGATGATGGATCCTCTCAGTGGCCTGAACAGAGGCTATGCCTTTGTCACTTTCTGCACTAAAGAAGCTGCACAGCAGGCTGTCAAATTGGTACGTTTACATGACTGTTATTATTCCCAGAAAGGGAGAGGGTCTGATGGAGTTTGGTAAAAACACACATCGGGTAAAATTACGTCAAGAAAACAAAGTTTTTTTTATCACTTAATGTGCTAATGACATTTATATCCATAAAGAGTGTGAAATAGCAAGTACATCAAGTTGGTATAGGCTCCATTGTTCACTCCTCTGCTTTTTTTTTTAACCATTACTTAAACTATCCTCCATCTTTCCACAGTGCAACAACAATGAAATCCGACCGGGTAAACATATCGGCGTGTGCATCTCTGTGGCCAATAATAGACTGTTCGTTGGCTCCATCCCCAAGAGTAAAACAAAAGAGCAGATTGTTGAAGAATTTGCAAAAGTTACAGGTAAGTCAGTGCCATCCTTAGATTTTCATGATTTGTTAAACATCATCATACCCACAATAAAGATTAGGTTCATTCTACGTTCAAGATTTGTTATGCAAGAATCAGTGGGTGATGCTTTGTGAATGTCCAAATGATGAACTTCTTACAATCCCAGAGTAACTTATGTTACTATGACGATTTACCGCTAAGATCTGACTGGACACTAGATGTAGCTGAGCTTGTTTTTCACCCTCGTGGTTAGGTATCTGATGAAGGGATAACTTGGTCTTAATTTCTCCATGTCTGATTACCACTATGAAACCACTTTGTTCATTAGTTTTTTATTCAAACCTTTAATTTCACAGTTTATCTTAAATTGTGTCAATAGTTTGTTGGTAGGTTATTGATGTGAATTGATTTTAATCAGTGATGCCACTTAACCACCTTCTGTTGTTTTTTTTCTCCACCCATCTCTTTCTGTTTCCAGAGGGTCTAAATGATGTCATATTGTACCACCAGCCAGATGATAAGAAGAAGAATAGAGGCTTTTGCTTCCTGGAGTATGAAGACCACAAGACGGCAGCTCAGGCTCGTCGCCGTCTGATGAGTGGCAAGGTGAAGGTGTGGGGAAATGTGGTCACTGTAGAATGGGCTGACCCTATCGAGGATCCGGATCCAGAGGTCATGGCCAAGGTAAGGCACAAGGCTGGGGTCATCAGTTGCTGTTCAGTGTGTAAGTGGCCAACATAAGTTTTCTGTCACCTAAACCTGAACCATGTTGTTCTTGTCCCAGGTCAAGGTGCTGTTTGTGAGGAACCTAGCAAGCACTGTTACAGAGGAGATACTTGAAAAGACCTTCAGTCAATTTGGCAAGTTGGAGCGGGTGAAAAAATTGAAAGACTATGCCTTCATCCACTTCGAGGAAAGAGATGGTGCTGTGAAGGTATGACAGTCTTTGCAAAGACACTAATGTTTCTGACCTAAACTTGTCATTGCTGTGAGATTGATCCTAGAATCTTGTCTTTTGAAATTGCCAGGCGTTGGCTGATCTCCACGAAAAAGTACTTGAAGGAGAGCGCATCGAAATTGTCTTCGCCAAACCCCCTGACCAGAAGAGGAAAGAGCGTAAAGCCCAGAGACAAGCTGCCAAAACACAGATGTAAGCTTGAACAATGCAACCCGAATCTATGACCTTTTAGATATGCTGTTAGCAAATTTATATGTTGATATAAAGCAAGAAGCCATATTCATGTCGAGCCTGTGTATCTCCCCAGGTATGATGAATACTATTACTATGGGCCTCCCCACATGCCACCACCCACAAGAGGCAGAGGCCGAGGAGGGCGAGGAGGTTATTCTTACCCTCCAGATTATTATGGCTATGAAGACTACTATGATTACTATGGATACGATTACCACAACTACCGGGGTGGCTACGATGACCCGTACTATGGCTACGAGGACTTCCAAGGGTCCGGCAGAGGACGAGGAGCAAGGGGTGGAGTCCGTGGAGGTGCCAGTCAGACCAGAGGCCGCGGTGCTGTCACAGCGAGGGGCCGTCTGGGCTTCTCCCAGCGAGGAGGCCCTGGAACAAGCAGAGGTAAATGAAATTAGTTTTAAAGTGTGACTAATAAAGCTTGATTTTTCTGTTCCAGGTAATTACTGTTAATTAGGGAAAGAAGTTGTTAAATGGCTTGTTCAGTCAGTGGTTTTTAGAAGTCTTGAAAAGTGATTGCTGTGCTCAGTCTCTGTATATTTCCAATGCTGAGTGTCAGTTATCAGAGAACAAAGTTCAGGGGAAAGACAGAGCGCTGTAGTAAATGAAAGCAGCTCTAGTTAAGGAAAGGAATATATTGATTATGTTGAAATGATCCTACAAAATATCAGAAACCTGTACAAAAAATACTCACGTTGCCATTAAAAAAAGATACGCCTGCTTATATGCATCATAACTAATCCCTGACAGGTGTCAACTTTCAGACCAGCTTGTCAACTTGTTGCTGCCAGCAGAGCAAGGTCATTCACAGCATACTATGTTTTTAAGGACAGTTGAATCACTCCAGTAGTTGAATGCTGGCTTTAGTCTTCATTTTGTCTAATTTCATTAAATTGCTAGCATGCTGATTAATGGAGAATGCATATGGATCCCTCCATACTAATTTTATATTTCCTCTCGTTGGTCCCAGCAGGGAAACGGGGTCGAGGGCGGTCCTGACCTGTGACAGTGGATACTGACTTGATGTGTGGGGTTAACACCGTAAGCTGCAATGGATGTTGAAATGAAAAAGAGCACGACAAAAAGGTCCAATGATATTCCAGCCTTACAGAAGAAGCATCGCCCCTCCCCCCCATGTTTTTATTTTCAATTCTTTCTGAAACTGCCACCTTAAAAAGATGACGGAGGATTCTGAATACTCGCCACAGCCTCTTTGTCCTGAATCCCTGAACCCAGCCCTGAAAAAATATGGCTCTATGTATTGCCCTTACAATCTACCCCTTCCCTGTCCCTGATCATGCCATTTTTTAAATAATTATTGAAGAATTTGCACTTTTTTAAGTTCTTAGGTTTGAAGTGGCTCAAAGGAGCTTGATGCTATTGTATATTTTTGTGCTAATCGCAATTTTTATTGTCGGAATATCCATGTTAATCTTAATCGTTTGATCTGGATGTTTGAAAGAAAACATTTGCAGGTTTTTAGGGTGTACCCACCTGGCATGGATAAGTCAGGCATTCCAGGAAAGTGGTTCTTTTCAGAACTTGTCTTTAAAGGGTTGGTTGACTACCTCAGTACAGAGGACTAAACTACCCGGCCTGTACTGTAAATAGGGAAACTATATTGATGAAAGCAGGGCTTGTTTTCATACAAAATATGCACAAGAGCTGCAGCGCAAAAACGATGTACTTAATGTAATATAGTCATTTTTGCTGCAGCTCTGACACTGCAAACAGTCAAACTGGGCATGCAAAACAATCTCATATGATGAGTCTGAACAAGCCCTGCTTTTATCCTATTTTGAACTGAATTAGCCGCCTTGCTTCTTCAGAGTATGTAGTTACTGGTTGTATAGTTTTTCGGATAAAAATGTTACTTTTGTAAAGGCTTCATCATCACAGGCATCCAACTGCCTTTGATAAAAAAAAAATTAAGAACAAAAATAAAGCCCTGCAGTGTCCCTTTTGTGCCACTGTATTATTCCAGTGGGTTTGTTTTTATATGGATAACACATTTTCAAACAACTTCAAGATCATGTTTAACAACCTAATCCAATCATTCATCACATAAGATCATGTAAATCTTGAATGATCCCTTCCCAGCTCCGAAGACGGCAACCATCTACAAGATCTTTTGAGTTCATCTTAATGGATGACTGAATTGCCCTGTTGCCCAGCCTGTGAGCATGCGTGTCTCATGCTGGCTGCTGCGATCTGGCGAGGGATCATAGTCACATAGTGGTGGCAAGGGATACTGCAGTGAACGATTTCTATTTCCAGGTATAGCAAAAAGGAAACTGTGCTATTCAATCCCAGTTTTCTATACAGTTAACTCCCTCAATAAACTTGTAACAACCACCTTTTGAAAAAAAGATGTTAGCAGTTTTAAACTATTGTTGGTGGCCAACAACGTTTTTTGCATTCCTGCAAATAAATTGTTTTATACTGTAAAATGGAGGTGAGTGTAACTTATTTTTGTAATAAAGTTTTTGATTTCTATCTGTGTCTTACTCTTTTGGGTAAAGGACTCTTGAGTTGGACGTGCTCTGCTATTAACTGGTTCGCATGTGGTTCAGTTTGGCCACAGGTCTGTCGTTGTTTACAGTGTAACCTTAGGGACACCAGGAATAAGATGGAAAGTACGATTTGTTAACGACAGATTAAAGCCTGCGAAAGGACATTGCTCAGAAATGTAGGTAAGAGAGTTTGAAGAACTTAACAGATGAGCATGCTCTTTCTAATGTTAGAACTTCTGTTTAATCTTATGGCTTGGTGTGAATGCCACAGGAAGGAAATACATTGCACATCTTTTACCACAACGCTGAGTCATTGTTGCAGGCAGAACTAAATTGATTATATCTACTAATTGTGCTTCAGTATGAGAGTAGGGAAAGGGTCTAAAACACAATTCAGGAAAATGATGACTTCCACTCCTCTTGTAAGTGGACAAGTATAGCTGAATAAATAGTAATCTGGGCCTCGAACCTTTGACCGGAGACCATGCTGATGAAGTTAAGCAACAGTTTAGTCACAGTAAGTCTCCATGAGCATAAACAACTTGTGATAACTACAGTTGCACATGTGACCTCGCTGTGTGAATCATCAGCTGTCCCGGAAGTTTCCGGTCTCAAACGATTGATCACTTCTAAATCTGCGTGTAACCATAGGAACAGCAGCGATGTGGGTGGCCACTCAAGCGGAACTAATTAATAGGCGGTTATGTTTCCAATGTTTTGTTCCGTGTCAGCAAACACACAAAACAAGCAGCAACACGATGAAAGGTTTACATGTGTATGACTCTGTTAACCTCAGTGAACTGTCGCGGTGAGCTGTTAACCGCACTCTGATATTTACACTGCGAGTTATTTAAGAAAGAAACACAAATGAAAAATGGCGGCAGGACGCTGACTCCGTCTCCTCAATGTGTGGGACCCTTCGCCGTGGCCTGAATGTAGCTGAGACCGTTGTTTGCCTGTAAAACTACCGGAGCGAGCGCAGCGGAGGTGACATCACACGCAGGCGGCCCCGGGACCCGACCCCCCTCGGCGGACAGAGCTGACAGCTGGAGCGGCCGCTAGCCGAACACGCGCTAATATCCACCGGAGAGCCCGAGTGTGCGCAATTACTCCTAATCCAGCGGTGGTTCCCAGCTGTTCCCTGCACCTCCACCTATATCCTACACTGGATTACACTGACACGCATTTATTCTGCTCATTCACGATGGTGTCGCTGCTGGACGACGGCGGAAAATGGCCCGTAGCGTCCACCGTAGTCGCACAGTAAGTAAAGGGCTGCGGTCCGCGGATGACAACAACACAGCCTGCCTGAAGCAGGAGAGTCGCTCTGGATGACATGTGAGGCGTTGCTGCTGCACGCCATCGTTTGTTACATTCAGACACTCGCTCCCTCTTCATGTTTCAGTAACCTGCAGTAGGCTGCACATGCACTGGCGAGGATGGGATGCATCAGTGCTTTTCTGCAGAAGATCCGCAGCAGGATCAAGCTGGACCGGGTCAGAGAGCTGGGCAGACAGTACCCAGTCTTCTGCTTCCTGCTGCTGCTCCTGCTGCTGTGCACTGTGCTGCTAAACAGGTAAAGTACTCTGTAAATACCATAGACTGTGGATAAAAAGGTAAATACACCACTCTATCCATGCTACTGCATGTGTTTTCTTGTAATCCAAATGCTTATTATGATTTTGTGCAGGAGACAGTGCAGGATACCTCACGGTAGATACAGTACGACTTGCTGCCAGCATAAAGGAAGATAAACTAAAATCAAACAATGAACACTAGGAATAAATGCCATTAATTAGCATATACATTTAATTATAGGCTCAGCTTTACATGAAGCCAGAAGTGGTCCAATGTCTCAGTTACATTTCCCCCATTTCCCCATCTGTATCAATATAATAAAGTCTTAATCGTTTCATTGATCCATTCTTTTGCTGTGGGACGCATAGAATGTTTCTAGTTTTTCAACAGGACTCTTGCTGCCGTGATAAGACCAACATTAGTCAATGGGTTTTAATGGTAAAGCTGATCTTAGCCAGTCCCCCAATACCTGATGTTTCACACCAGAAAGGTTGAACCAAGGAACGCTCCCAGATTTCCAACATTGATTGTTAACTGCAGTACATGTCTTCTCTCTGCACAGATATATTCACATCATAATAGTGTTTTGGTCCTTCCTGGCCGGAGTTGCCACTTTTTACTGCTCTCTGGGCCCAGAGTCTCTGCTGCCCAACATCTTTGTCTCCATCAAACCAAAGACCAAGGTAGGTCAGAGACAGAGGCTTCCCATTATTCCCTATGATTTAGTCACCTTCGCTGCCAGAGTGAATGATGGGCAGGATCACCATAATTACTGTTTTTTATTTCTCTTGCAGTCGTACCAACAGGAGCTTTTTCCACTGGGACACAGCTGTGCTGTTTGTGGAAAAATCAAGTGCAAAAGGCACAGGTGAGTTATGGTGCAGCACAGTGGAGCTTTAGAAGATGTTTGTTTATGTTTATTTAATTAAAAGAGGAAAATACACATTGATTAACATGCCTACTTAAGTCCAACATGTAATTGCGCCAGAATTAACCATGCAGGCCAGTTTTCACCTGCAGTCCCTGGCAGGGTGATGAGAAAAAAAACCCCTGTAACATAACATAAAGACAGACATATGTATAAAACTTATTTGGAAGAGAACAGGACATAAAACTGACAAAAGAGTCACTTCGATTCACTGTGAGGCGCTTAAACAATTTCACTCGAATTTCCAGCATTCAGTTTGACAACATTCATTCTGTGTCATAACACTGGAAAATGTTACACCAACCCCTAGTGGTCAGGCAGGATTCCAACGCTTTTCTCTTTGTGTAATTTGGGGATTTTAGACCGACCTTATTACTGGAAAACTATCAGCCATGGCTTGACCTGAAAGTTCCCTCGAAGGTTGATGCTTCTCTTTCAGAGGTAACGCATGCACAGATCAAACTTTGTTAAAGTTGAATGTAAAATTACTTAAATTGTTTATTATTTATTTTTCCCTGATGTTTTTTCTCCAAGATTCTAGAGCTTGTTCTGGAAAACTTTGTATATCCTTGGTATAGGTAAGCCATTTTCTCTGTTCTGTTTTCCATCCATTTCCATGTTGTATGTGGACACTGAAGTGACAGTAAAGTTTTCTCTTTCAGAGACATCACCGATGATGAGGCCTTTGTTGACGAGCTGAGAGTGACTTTGCGTTTCTTCGCAGCTGTCTTAGTGCGACGAACCCAGAAGGTAAAAAACTAGACCGTATGCAGTCAGAATCTTTGGCTGCTGATTCACAGAACTATTTTTTATCAATTTTTTTCTCCCTCAGGTGGATGTAGCATCCCTCATCACACAAAAGCTTCTTAAAGTTTCCATGAAGCATATTGAAATCATAAGCAAAGCCAGGCAGAAAGGTATTGCCAACTTCCATCACCCACTGACTCCTCTTCTTTGTGTTCACCATAAAAAGGCTAACTCTTTCCCACCCGCTCTCCTCTGTAGTAAAGAACACAGAGCACCTTCAACAAGCTGCTCTGGAGGAATACGGTCCCGACCTCCATGTAGCCCTTCGCAGTCGCAGAGATGAGCTCCTCTACCTCAGGAAGCTGACGGAGATGCTCTTCCCCTACATCCTGCCACCGAAGGCTACAGACTGCAGGTAACTCACAGCTGTGACAGTATAGGACATGCAGTGTCCTCAGATATTTCACAAAATGAGTTACAAATAATCCCACCATCCGCAGACTTAACTGTTCTTTATAAACGTAGTTTAGGATCATTCTTTACTCTTTCACTCTCTTATTTCCTGCTGCATTATCTCTTCGCTCCTCTCAGATCTCTTACTCTCCTAATAAGAGAAGTCTTGGCTGGTTCTGTCTTCCTTCCTTCACTGGACTACTTGGCTGATCCTGTGAGTGCACTGTAGACCCACTACGGGCTCAATTTGATTTATTCTATGTAGCAAGAATGTTAATCAATGTTCATCATGAGCATGTAAATTGTAGACAAAGATGGTCTTTGTTCGAACACCAGAAATAGCGACAGTGTTCTGCATGATTTCTGTTTTTATTTCAGGACACAGTAAATCATTTGCTTTTGATATTCATCGACAACTCCCCTGTAAGTATACGTTGATATTTCAACTCATAATTTCATTTATATATTTTTTTTTTCGAAATTGTAACGATTCCAAACCCTAATGTCAAAGAAATGTAATTGAGGTTAAATATTTTACAGTTAAACTTTATTATAAATAACTATTAATGAAATGAAAAATAAATGCACATCTTTTCTGCATTGTTTATTCTGTAAAATAACTTTTCACGCAGTGTACTGTACTGGTGTACTGGCAACATAAATGCAGATCAGTCAGACTCTAGCTCCAATTGTATCCATGTGTATATATAAAGTTTTCATCATTGACTGTGATCAACATGTTTTTATTTGTGTTTGTCCCTCAAGCCTGAAGTAGCCACAGAGCCAACTTCAACCCTGGTTCCTTTCCTGCAGAAATATTCTGATACCCGAAACAAAAAGCCTTCAGTGAGTGTTTCCTCTCCTACATAGTGGTAAAGTGATTTTTCAACATATACGACTACGTACAAGATTAATTTAAAGCACTTGAACAAGTCACTGGACACTGTAGGTGACAGCATCTCGTACATACTGTAATCACAATATGCAGACTCAGTGTTTTAGCCCCTGACATTGACTGAAATCAAGATGCAAATCACATATAGTTACAGAAACACTCAACTGTCTTCACTGAGCCACTCCTCTCTTTCTCTCTTTCTCTCTCTCTCTCACCAGGTGCTGAAGCTTGAGTTGAAGGAAATCAGAGAACAGCAGGACCTTCTCTTCCGTTTTATGAACTTTCTCAAGCAAGAGGGGGCCGTGCATGTGCTCCAGTTCTGCCTTTCAGTTGGTAAGTGTTTCCTAAAGAGGACACTTAAGCCCGCACAGAACCAACGTTG